GTGCTAGGGCTGAACTCTGGTCCTCTTAATCACTCAACCATCTCCTCAGCCCCTAATTTTTTTTTAAAAAACATGGCTTCAAACATCCCATGCTGGCCCTGACCTTGAAATATAACAGAATGACCCTCAATTTCTGGTCCACCTGCCTCCATCTCCGGAAGACTGGGATTACAGGTGTGTGCCACCATGCCAGGTTTTATCATTTAATCTAATTTGACTGAGTGTACTTCCTTTTTAAAAGAAACATGTCCTTCCTTAAGATGCACAACTCAGCCAAGTGGTGGTGGCACATCCCTCTAATCCCAGCACTCAGGAGGCAGAGGTAGGCAGGTCTCTGAATTTAAAGAGAGTTCCAGGACAGCCAAGGCTACACAGTGAAACCCTGTCTTGCCCCCTCAAAGATGCAAAACTCAGTTATTGATGTATGTATACATACACCTAGAATTTACATTATTGAATAAGTCATTAATCCAAAGAGGAGTAGGAAAGTTGGCCAGAAGAACCTACCAGTCCACAGAAAGCTTTATTAGATCTCATTACAGATGATTGTGAGCCACCATGTGGTTGCTGGGACTTGAACTCAGGACCTTTGAAAGAGCAGGCAGTGCTCTTAACCTCTGAGCCATCTCTCCAGCCACCCTGGGTTGTCTTAAACTCCTGAGCTCAGGCCACCTTCCTGCCTCAACCTCCCCAGTAGCTAGGACTACAGACACAGGCCACCATACTTAGTTCTCACAGGTTTGATCATTAATGAAGAATAAAAATCAATAGTTCTGCCAGGCAGTGGTGGAACACGCCTTTAATCCCAGCACTCGGGAGGCGGAGGCAGAGACAGGTGGATCTCTGAGTTCCAGGCCAGCCTGGTCTACAGAGTGAGTTCCAGGACAGGCTCCAAAGTGATAGGGAATCTATAATCCTTGTAGTCATTCATGAATTTATTCAATATACTTACTGACTCTGCTTTGGGGATGGGTGAGTTTTGTTTCTGTTTTATTTGTTGTTGAAACAAGGTTTTACTATGTGGCCCTGGCTGGCTTCTGACTTTCTACATAGACCAGGCTGGCCTCAAACTCAGAGAAATTTACCTTCCTCTGCTTTCCCAGTGCTGGAATAAGGCCTGTGCTATCACATCAATTCTTTCTGAGGACATTTTTTTAAGCTTCAGGGAAAATACAATAGGCCAGGTAAGCTGAAAATTTCTGGCAACTGCCAGGAGGAGGGGGATGGAAAGAAAGTCAGGCCTTTCAAGTTAGGTATGAAAGTCAGAGAACCAGGGAGAAAGCCTAGAGTGCCAGGGACAGCATGCCTAGGCTTTGGCCAGTATCCAAAAGGAAGAGCTACAAGAAAAATGGAAGCAGACAGGCTTCACCGTCTTGCCTGACCACTGCTCTGCAGGAGGCTGCCTTCACACACAGACTCCTTGACAGTGTTCTGGATACACCATGTAGTCTTCTGGGCCTAAACTTCTATCTGAGTAGTTTATCTTCAGACACAAGTTCTGGATCTATAGCTTGGTGTAGATTACTTGGTTAGTATGCATGGTGCCCTGGGTTTAAGATTCAGCTTCCTTCAGAAACATTTCAGAGGCTGGCAATATGGCTTAGCAGGTAGAAGTGCTTGCTGCCAAGCCTGACTGCCTGAGTCTGCTCCCTAGGTGAAGGAGAGTACTGGTTCCCACAAGTTGTTCTCTGACCTTCACACAGACAACTATAGGTAAATTTTTACTTTAAATTCTAGTCTTACCTTTAGAAAAGATGAATCTGTCACTGATTTAGGTATATGAATTGTTTGGATTTGAGTGGTTTTCCATAACTCCTGCAGCTTGGCAATGTGTGAGTACACTCTGTGCCCCTCTTTGATTCTATCTGTAGACAAAGATCATTAATAATTATGAATATATATCTATATTTATACTTGTGAATATCCTGAAGCAGTTATACAAGTATTTTAAGTCAGATAGTTAAAATTTGAGGGAATGTATAATATGTATGCCCTTTATTTTTAGAGCACACAAACATCAGAAATGGACATGTCTCCAAAGATGTTAATACATAGCCAATAAACACTTTAAAAGATGCTCAAAAGCTGGGCAGCCATAACTGTTAGAGAAATTCTGTCTCAAAAAATGTTCAGAATCACTCATCAGCAGTTTAGTGCAAAGAAAAATAAGATGCAGGCCTGCAAGATGGCAACCTGAGTTCAATCCCTGGAATGTAAAATGGAAGGAGGGACGTTACTCCACAGAGCTATTCTCTGGCATTCCCTACACACACCTGTGCTACCAAGACCAGTAAATTACCTCCCCTTCCCCTGGAAAATTAGTAAGAGGCCTTGAGGAGATGATGTTTTTCTCTTAACTTCATCAAAAAAGAGGTATCTGAAAAGTGCTCCTTGTGAAATAGCTGTTGGTTTTGAAGCTGTTTGTGTAGAATTTCCCTTCAGTCCATGTGTAAACAACAGGTATGTCCTCTGCTTTCCAACCAATGCTAATTCTCAACACAGTTCTTTTAGAATTCATTGGTACTAAAAAAAATATTATAGAGTCAGGGTTACACACAGAAACCCTGTCTCAAAAACATTATAGATTAACATAAGAGAAAGAAGTGATCTTTGAAACTCTGAAAAGCGTTTCAAGTTTACTGAGGATGTTAAAGTCCATTCTTTAGGGCCACAGCTCAGTAGCTGTCTAGCATGCACAAAGCCCCACATTCAGTCTAGTGAAGTCTGTTTTACATTTGCGGATGTGTGAGGTGGGGAGAAAATGGGAAAGCAGGATGAAGTCAGAGAACAACTTAAAAGAATCGGTAGGTTCTGAGGGAACTGAAATCAGCTAGTCCATTTTGCCAGCCCTTTGAGCCTATTGTTAAAACTCCATTGTGTAATTAGTGTCAAGCAAACTGGCTTCTCTCAAGTCTGCAATCTACATGCATTACCTGCTTTATGCTGCTCACCAGTGCCTTTCGAATTCTGGTGATAAAAGCGTCCAGCTGACCTGTTAGAAAAGAACACACATAATATATAATCTGGCAGCTTGAGAGCCAGTGAAGACAGAAAGTCCAGTGACAGACAGCTCACGTGCTTTTTTACTTTTCCTGTTTCCATCAATGTCTTGCAAATTTTCTCCTAGGACGAGAGTGAGTGCATTACTGGGGGATAGCACCCAGGGCTCACAAATGCTAGGCAAGTGCTCTACCACTGAGCCATCGCCCCAGTCCCACTTTCATAGCTCCCCAGTCTAATTCTTACAGCGATACCAAGTGAGTAGTTTGGTTCCTGTACGCAGGATATCTTTCTTGTTCTTTGATAATTTCAGTACTGAAAAGAATAACTATTTTGTGCTGGAGCTACTAGTAAATTGAACCAGAACTGGCCTGTAACGTTTCCAATCTTGTATCGGTTCTTTTTACTTTTCTCAAAAAATTAAATTGCTTCCTGCAGTTTCTCAATAACTGTGAGTTCATTGAACCAACACACCTCCAAGCATTGTGAAGAACATGAAAGGCCGGGCGGTGGTGGCGCACGCCTTTAATCCCAGCACTCGGGAGGCAGAGGCAGGCGGATCTCTGTGAGTTCGAGACCAGCCTGGTCTACAAGAGCTAGTTCCAGGACAGGCTCCAAAACCACAGAGAAACCCTGTCTCGAAAAACCAAAAAAAAAAAAAAAAAAAAAAAAAAAGAACATGAAAGAATCTCACATTTCATCTTTAAGAAGTCTTAGCAGCAAATATATACATACGTATATATTTACAATGTACGTATGTACAATAAAATGTACATTTAATATGAATATATATTTAATAAATGTAAATATGTATTTCACAGCCATGAATTCAGCAAGCGCCATGGTTGTGAACCTATCTGAATCCCGGTCATCCTGCTGCTCTTGATTTTAAGGAAGCAAAAGTGGGGGACGGGGACAGGGAAGCATGATTAGCCGCCCTTAGCCTTGACATCAGAAGCCTACGGTCCTCTCTATCCAGGAAACAGTTAAAACCCGCCCAGGCCAGGAGTCATAGTCTACACCCGCCATCCCAACACTCCGAAGTGGAGCAGGAGAAGGAGTAGTTCAAGGCCAGCCTGAGCTACGTGACTGTGCATCAAGAAACCAATCCGCCAAACAAGTCAAGATCAACTTGCTAGCACACAGCTCCATCCGACAAAGAGGCTGCCAACGTCGCAGGGAGTGGATTGGTGGCGGGGCTGGGGGACTGGGAGCCGAGGGGCTGGGTCCTCGGCTCCCACTGGGTTCGCAAGGCCCTTTCCGGGGCTGAAAGCCCGAGCGGGTGACAGTTGCTGTCCTGCTCCTAGGACGCCTCGCAAGCCCTTCCCCTCGTTAGCAGAGTCCCGGCCTCACCAGGGGTCCCATCCTAAGAAGGGGTTCCCGGGCCTCACCCGTCGCCGTCTTCCGTCCTGGCCAATGCGGGCAGCTCAGCGGCTCCGGGATAACGGCTCGGCATCCCGTCGGTACGCGTGCGCCACGCCCGCTGTGAGGCCGTGTCCTCCGGCTCTACCCTCCGACCCTGCCCGAGCGGCTTCGGGACGGTGCCGAAGGCGACCCGAGCCCCTGGAGCTAGACCCGGGTTGGAGGAGGCCTCAGGTGACCAGGCTTCTGCGCCTTGGCATCTCTCCGTGACAGGGACGCGTCTGGGCAAGGTCACACACACGCTACCTGAAAGCAAAAGGCGTCTTCCTCCTCAGTATTCCAGACCCTCAGCGGATCTGCAAGTCTTGGGTTGTCACCCTAGGAGTCAAACCCAAGAACAGTGCGCCTGCCCTCGGGTGCTGAGCGTTATTCGCGATTCGCTATCACCTAGGCAACCAGCTTCGTCCGTGGACCAACCGACAACTGCCCGCAGCTCTCTTTGCGCACGCGTGAAACCTCGTTTTTTCTCAGGACGCGTTTTCAGGAGTTTTGGCTCTTGGGACGCTCCGTAGTCGGAGGTGTGGTACGTACCAGTGACGATCTGGGTCGTGATTGGCTTGTACCCAACGCCCCCGGAACTCAGGGGTCCTCGCGCGAAGGCTGAAGGGAGTGTGGCAGGCGGCAGAGAACCCGGCCGGCCGGAATGCCTCGGTACGCGCAGCTAGTTATGGGGCCCGCGGGCAGCGGGAAGGTGAGGCTCGAGGAGCTGCGGTTCGTGGGCGCTGGGGCCCCGGGGCACCCTGGGTAATTCGCTTCCGCTCTCTGCTTGTACTTTGTTTTTGTTGGGGGAGTAAAGGCAAGCGTTAGTAGTTACTGGGGACAGGAGAGATGGATGAGCGCGTAAGAACTTGTTCTGTTCCAGAGGACTCGAGTTCGGGTCCCTGCACCCACACACAGTTGTCACTCCAGCCCCAGGCCTCTGCGAACGGTGCATCCATGTGCACGTGCCCACACACAATAGACTTTTAAAATAATAACAGTATTAGGATACTTTTGCTCCAGGAACTGCTCTGGCCGTCCCAAGTGTTCTCATAACCACTCCGTGAGTTTGGGCCTATACTCATTCTACAGATTAAAGAAAACGAGATACGGTTAGTTCTGGCCAGAATTTGAGTCCATTGTTGTCTAATTTCAGATCAGGCCCTCTGCCACACACCCAGAATAGGGTCTTGTTCGTCACTGTTAGTCAGAAGTTTGAGCGTTGGGTTCCATCGCAGCCCTGGGAGGTGGGAGGGGAGAGTTGGGTTATGGATTTCTGAGGTATGTCTCCCTTGTGTGCACTGCCCAAAGAGACCGGAAGAGGGTGTCGCTTGCAGAAATCCCAGATCTTCAACAAGAGCAGCAAGTGCCCCTAAACACTCAGCCATCTCTGCAGTTCACAAAGGATGTGTATTGCAGCTTTTTCAAGACAGGGTTTCTCTGTAGCTTTTGGAGCCCGTCCTGGAACTAGCTCTTGTAGACCAGGCTGACTTCGAACTGCCTCTGCCTCCCGAGTGCTGGAATTAAAGGCGTGCGCCGCCACCGCCCTGCAGTATTGCAGGTTTTCATTCTTTGTGTGTGTGTGTGTGTGTTAGGTATTTTGTTGTTGTTTGTTTCTGAAACAGTCTCACTAGCTTTTAACTGGCCTGGAACTCATTGTGTAGCCCATGGTATCTATCTAGTCTCCAACTCAGAGATATGCCTCAAGTGCAGGGATTAAAGTTGTGCACAACTATTCCCAGCCCCTAGGCAACAGCATTAGTAAGGCTGTAGCAGTGGTGTGCTTTTGACCCCAACACTTGGGAAACAGAAGTCAGGAGAATCTTGAGTTTGAGGCCAATCTGAGCAACACAGCAAGAAAGACCCTGTCTCCAAGAGAAAAAAAAAATATATAGTTTTCTGATTGGCTGACCAGTGATTAGGGTGGGCTATTAGAATAGGAAAATGAACAGCAGATGCTGAGGCCTCCAACGGTGGAGTCAGGGGCTTGATAAACACAGCATGCCTCCTGCCCTGAGTAGGCTTCCCACGTAGATTCCAGAAGTGCAGAACGCGGGGGTGCACACCTCGAGTCCCATCACTCGGGAGGCAGAGGCAAGTGGATCTCTTAAGTTTGAGGACAGCCTGGTCTACAGAGCGAGGCAGAACAACACCTTCCACAAGTGGGGCTGAGTAGCACATGCCTATTACCCAGCACTGGGGGCGTGGGTCAAGAGGAAAATTGTAGGTAACATAGGCTGGGATCTAGCTTGGTGGTAGGCGCTTGCCTGTTACTGACAAGGCCCTGAGTTCAGTCCCCAGCACTGTAAACAACAACAACAATAAGTTTAAAAAAGTTGAGTTTGATTGTTTTTGAAGACAAATTCTTCCTGTGTAGTCCACGCTGGCCTTAAACTCATGGTCCGCTTGCCTCAACTTCCTTTGTTCTGGGATATAGGAAGGCACCCCCATGTCTGGAAAAAGTTACTTAGAATTTTATAGTTACCTTCATATTATGAGGAATATACTCATAATTGTTTTTTATTTTTAATTGTGATACAGTGTTTCCTTGTTTTGTTTTCTTTTGAAATAGGGTTTCTCTGTGTAGCATGACTATCCTAGAACTTGCTTTGTAGACAGGCTGGCCTCGAACTCAGAGATCCATCTGCCTCCGCCTCCTGAGTGCTGGACAGTGTTTCCTTGGATAGATCTATTAAGGGAATAATCATAGGGACACTAAACACAGTAGAAAAGGCAAAGATAATGATCACATACCAAGTTTGGGGAATTCCCAGTGTCCATGGAGATCTTGTGTTACTTGAGTATTTAATAAACCCATGGTTCTGAGTACCAGAGACGTACATAGCACTCCACAGAGCCTGTAATCTAGGAGGTGGATAGCTGACCTGTCAATCACAGTACATTTTGATGTGTGAAGGGGTTGTATCAGTCAGAGAACAGGTGTCAAGAGGGAAGCATGGTGGAGATCATTTGTATAACCTGAGTTGATTTGGGGGCTGTGTTAAAGCTCCCTAAGCCTGAGCCTCACCTTGATCTATAGCTCTGCTTTCACTGCCTTCCCATGGCTTTCCCCAAAGGTGCAGCTTTGTCCTGTGTGGATACTGCCCCAAAGAATGGAGAAGTCCCTGGGGTGTGGAGGTGGCACCATACTGCCCTCTGTGCTAACCACCCCCCTTGTCACATTACAGAGCACCTACTGTTCCACCATGGTTCAGCACTGTGAAGCCCTCAACCGCTCTGTCCAGGTGGTCAACCTGGACCCTGCAGCAGAGCACTTCAGCTACCCTGTGATGGCTGGTAAGTCCTGGCAGAGCCTCCTGCAGTGAAACGGCCAGTTACTCTCGGGCTCAGCCCTGGTTTCATGATGAGGGAGATGAAGCCAAGGGTCATTTGGTGATGGGTATCCGTGGGTGTGGGTGTGATGACGTCCTTTCTTGCTCTTTGCTGTGAGACTTAAAGGTGAGTGGGCTCCTGCCTTTCTGCTTTTCCCTGTTGTCCCTTTTTTACTTATGCTGGTAAGACCAGGGTAATACGGTTTGTATGCAGCAAACAGCACCAATGCTAGCTTAAATGAAAAGGTGAGCTCAGGGCTGGGGGTGTGGCTCGGTGGTATAATCCTTGCCTGGGGTAATGTAGCCTTGGGTTTGAGCACCACAGAAAACTAAATGAGGTGGTGCATGTTTGCAACCTCAGTGCTCAGTAAAACAAACCAAAAAAAAATTTTTTTTATTAAAAAAAATAAGTAACTGGGCTTGGCGGTGGTGGCACACGCCTTTAATCCTAGCACTTGGGAGGCAGAAGTAGATAGATCTTAGTGAGTTCTAGGCCAGCTTGGTCCAGGACAGCCAGGACTGTTATAGAGAGAAACCCTGTCTTGAAAAAAACAAACAAAACAAAACAAAAAAATCAGTAACTTTAGGCAGGTGGTGGTGGTGCATACCTTTAATCCCAGCATTCAGGAGACAAAGGCAGACAATCTCTGTGAGTTCAAAAGGAGACCTGGTCTACAGAGTTCCAGAACATCAAAACTGATATTACACAGAGAAACCCTGGGTGGGGGAGGGGATGACAAACCAATAGTAAACCTCATTCAAGTAGAAACTGCTCATTTAGATGGAAGACGCAAATATTTGGGCTAGCAGCAGTCTAGGCACATTGAACCCCAGGATGGGTGACCTCATCTTGGGAGGGGTTTGTTAGAGAAGAGGAAGTGAGCTGAGCCCTGAAGGTCTGTGTTCTTTGGAGGCTGTTAGAGGAGTTGGCCTCAGTGAGATGTGAGGAAGGTGCAGCTTCTGAAGGGACAGAGGGAAGTTCTCAAGAAAGAGGTGTGGTTCACGTTAGGTCTGAGCAGTTGTGTAACACAGTGACGCCTGTTAGATGTGGGGACATGGTGACAGCGGTAGCTCTGACAGAATCAGCAGTGGGACTGCAGGCAGGTGGGAATGGACTGGAGAGTGAAGTTGAGGGGCCACTGTGGACAATGCCACACAAGTTTTGTTTTTGCTTGAGTTTTGAAATAGAGTCTCATGTAGCTGGAACTTCCCTCAAACTCCTCATATAGCCAAGGATGATGTACTTCTGAACTTCCTGCCTTTACCTATGGATTGCTGGGGTTACAGGCTTGAGCCGAGGGTGTGGTCATGAGGACAGTGTGGATTCTAGTATGTGGAGGAACAGGCTGAGAAGGGGGTGGAAACCACCTTGTCATCTCTCTAGAGAGAGAGGGAGAGGGAAAGACAGATTTGCTTCAGGATCCCGTGAGTGGAAGCACTGAGGCTGCGCCAAGTGAAAAGATGTGTCAGAAGGGCCTGGGGCCCCAGGAGCCCCGGAGGAAACTGAGAAGAGAGGCCAGCTTCCTGTATGTTTTACTTTGATCTCAAAATGAGTGAGAACTGTTTGTATGCTGAGGTATTTAATACCTTTCTGTAGGTAAGTCACACAGTTCCCATCCTTCCACTCAGGGTGAATGCGCGCTGGAGTTAACTAGCTTCTTTGGATCATCGAGTTAAGAGATAGCACTTGACTTCATTTTAGCTTCCTTCTTGACATAGTTAATACTTAGCTGAATGGTCAACATTTGAAGGACAGAGAAGAGAAAGTATGCAGAAAAATCAGTCAAATCGTGGCCCACCAATCAAATCTGATCCTTTGGGCAGCCAGTGTTACTGGTTTCTGATGTGTTACTCCATGAAGCAACTTGTGCATCTAAAACCCAGCCTGAGTGGACAGTATTTAATATGTTTGCAGTGAGCTTCTGTGGTTTTTTTTTTTTTAAACATTTATTTATTTATTAAGTATACAGTATTCTGTCTGCTTGCATGCCTGCAGGCCAGAAGACGGCATCAGACCTCATTACAGATGGTTGTGAGCCACCATGTGGTTGCTGGGAATTGAACTCAGGACCTCTGGAAGAGCAGGCGGTGCTCTTAACCTCTGAGCCATTTCTCCAGCCCGAGCTTCTGTGTTTTGTTATTTGCCTTGAAAAAGGACCTAACTGTATGGATCCTCTTAACTCACTCTCCAAGAGCAAAGATTATTCTGGACCATCACAATCAGCTTTTTTCTTCCAGCACACCCATTTTTTACAGGAAGCTCTATGCTTTGAGTTTTTTACTTAATGATACAGCCGGGAGATTATATTATAGCAATGACTAAAGAGCTTCCCCTTAAAGCAGGGCATGGTGGTGCACGATATTAATCCCAGCACTTAAGAGGCAGAGACAGATAAATCTGTGGGAGTCTGAGGCCAGCCTGGTCTACAGAGTGAGTTCCAGGATAGCCAGAGCTACATAGTGAGACCCAGTCTCAAAAACCTAAACACACAAAAAAGAGCTTCTCCTCCACTTTCTTTTTTTTTTTTTTTTTTTTTTGGATTTTTCGAGACAGGGTTTCTCCTTAGCTTTTTGGTTCCTGTCCTGGAACTAGCTCTTGTAGTCCAGGCTGGCCTCGAACTCACAGAGATCCGCCTGCCTCTGCCTCCCGAGTGCTGGGATTAAAGGCGTGCCGCCACCACTGCCCGGTTTCTCCTCCCCTTTCTCTGTGTGCATAGTGTTACTTCTGTGCAGTAATTTATTTGCTCAGTCAGATGTCTTGCTCTCACCCCACCTATTCCTTTGAGGAGTAGGGTCTCCAGCTGAACCTGGAGCCCTGGCAGCTCTCCCTCCTCTACCCTACAGCACTGGAGTTACAGACATGTGGCTATGCCCAGCTTTTTTCACGGGTGCTAGAGATTCACACTCAGGTCCTCATGCTTGTGCACCAAGCACTCTTAGTCATGGAGTGTCTTCTCAGCCCCACACGTGAGTTCTTATATACCTGTTAGTCACTTCTAGAGAAGATAGTTTTCCAAGTGGGATACTCATTCTGGTCCCTGCCTGGCTCTCTAGACATCCGGGAACTGATCGAGGTGGACGATGTGATGGAGGATGATTCTCTGCGGTTTGGTCCCAACGGAGGATTGGTATTCTGCATGGAGTACTTTGCCAACAACTTTGACTGGCTGGAAAACTGCCTGGGACACGTTGAAGATGATTACATCCTTTTTGACTGTCCAGGTATGTCAACCACTTGAATATGCTGTCTGCCCTGAAGCTGTGATGGCCTGTCCTCGTCGGGACTGCCCTGAGGGAGCCTGGGCCAGAGCCATGGAGCTTAGGGTCCCATGGCAAGCAAGCAAGATAAAAGACATGCCATGGTTAATATTTGTGGCAGGGACTCACAAAAGGAACACAGGCTGTTCTGCAGAAGAAGTGTTCAGGAGGCTACTGAGACAGCTGTGCAGGCAGAAGGCTAAAGACAAGAAGCAGTAGGTAGATTGGAGGTCGAGTGGCTGGGGCACAGTGGGCAGAAGTGTTGTGAGGTGAAACTGGTGAGGGGTAGGGAATGCCACAGCTTCTGAAGGGTGAGTGTGAACTTACCTTGCTCACCTGTGGCTTTCACTTGCTTTCTTTTTCTTGCTTTTAATCAAACACATGGACTCCACAGAAAAGTGTTTGGGAAGCCTGGCAGTGGTGGCGCATGCCTTTAACCCCAGCACTTGGGAGGCCGGAGGCAGAGGCAGGCGGATCTCTGTGAGTTCAAGGCCTGCCTGGTCTACAAGAGCTAGTTCCAGGACAGGCTCCAAAGCCACAGAGAAACCCTGTCTCGAAAAACCAAAACAACAACAACAAAAAATAAAAGTGTGTGTGTGTGTGTTATGGGTGTGAATATTCCCAGACTACATGCCCCTTGTACTTGGATTTTTATTTTTCTGTACTAGAGTTGAACCAGGGCTGGCTCATGTCAGGGAGGCAGTCTGCCACAGGTTCTCATCCCTGATCCCAGCACTGGCAAAAGCTGAGGTGTTAAAATTAGTACTCTGCTCGATGTTTTCTTGGTGACCATACCTTAGGTTTTATGGTTGTCCTGGGAGTCTGTAAGGCCCCTTACCAGCTGAGTGCAGGGCATGGAGAGGGGCTCAGAGGTTAAGGGCACTTACTCATCCTGAGGACCCGAGTTTGGTTCCCAACACCTGTATTGGGTGGCTTACAACTTGTATTTCTTCCACTCTGACACCCTGTTCCTAGCCTCCACATTCACCTCAAAGACCTGACATGCAGACAAATCAAAATATAAAACTCTTTCAGGAAAAAAGATGCAGAAAAAACAAAACTTAATGCAGAGTCTGTGGGGACGGCACGGTCACAGGTCACAGAGTACTTGGCTAGCCTATTCAAGGCCGCAGTCCAGTCCCTAGCACACAGACAAGACAAAAACACCTGGATGTCGCAGCAGGATCTGTCTTCCTTCTCTCTTCAGTACTGGAGATTGAACCAAGGGCTCACACACAGTAGGCATGCATCAGAGCACTGTGTGCCGCTTCCCCTTTACACCATCTCTGCTTCATCCTGTGTGGACATGTGCTGCGGTAACCAGGAGCATCCCATGTGTTCACGTGCTGCAGTAACTGGGAGCTTCGCGTATGTCCATGAGCTGCAGTAATTGGGAATATCCCATGTGTCCATGAGCTGTAGTAACTGGGAGCATCCCATGTGTGGATGTGCTGCAATAACCAGTTACTGCATTCTGGTGCTCTCCCTACAGGTCAGATCGAGCTGTACACACATCTGCCTGTGATGAAGCAGCTGGTCCAGCAGCTTGAACAGTGGGAATTTCGAGTGTGCGGAGTATTCCTTGTTGATTCTCAGTTCATGGTGGAATCTTTCAAGGTCTGAGGATGAATCTCTTGTAGACTTTTCAGTCCTGGGTAGAAAGCAAGTGTCAGTCTCTGCCCATTCTGTGTGAGTCTGTACATTTCATAGGCTATTCCATTTATCTAGTGTCTCCAGTGGTCAGATTATTATGTGAATATATACTTACTTAGAAAGTAGATTTGAACTGGATTTGGTGGTGCACGCCTTTAATCCCAGCACTTAGGAGACAGAGGCAGGAGGATCTCCTTGAGTTCCAGGCCAGCCAGAGCTGTCTGTCTCAAATATATATATATATCATTTGAAAGAACTGCTTATGAAATAAAAATTGAGGCAAATGGGCACTGTATTAGATAGCGTATTTTAAAATATTAAGCTAGGGGGAAGATAGGACTGGGAGGAGAAACTAGTTGGGATATAATATATGCGAGAATAATAATAATAATATTATGGAGAGATGGCTCAGCTGTTTTAGAGCACTGGCTGCTCTTCCAGAGGTTCAATTTCCAGCAGCTACATGGTCGCTCACAACCATCCATAATGAGATCTGATGCCCTTTTCTGGCATGCAGGCATATATGCAGGCAGAAAACTGTATACATAATAAATGATATTAAGAAAAGAAAAATCTTGTCTTGAAAGAACATGACATATGTCTGTGTATATATGTGTGTATGTGTGTGTGTGTATATATATATATATTTATATGTAAAAATACTGAAGTGCAGTTCGAGGCCAGCCTGGTCTACAAGAGCTAGTTCCAGGACAGGCTCCAAAACCACACTGAAACCCTGTCTCAAAAAAAACTAAAAAAAAAAAAAAAAAATACTGAAGTGGGTATGTGGTTCATGCCTGCAATCCCAGTATTCAGAAGGCTGAGGCAGGAGGGTTGCTGCAAGTTCAGGACCAGCCTTGTCTACAGAGTAAGACAGTATCTCAAATATAAAGATTAAAATAAACAGAAAAATCTGTTTTTAATTTCTAAGAATCTTTTGTCCAGTTTAGGAATTATAGACTTTCTCAGTAGTCCTGAGGGGTGTTTGTGGGGTAAAAAAGGCTAATATCATGGTCAAAGTCAAGAAATGTGGTCAGGGGCTGGAGAGATGGCTCAGTAGTTAAGAGAACTGACTGCTCTTCCAGAGGACCTGGGTTCAATTCCAGCACCCACATAGTGGCTCATAGCTGTCCGTAACTCCAGTTTCAGGAGGCCCAACACCACCTTCAGGCAAAATACCAATGCACATAAAATAAAAAAGTAAATTTAAAAGAAGAAATGTCATTAGTGTAGATTGATTCCTTGATAGATTTGGGATACAGTCTTTCTGAGTAGCAAAGACTGGCCCAGAACTCGCTCTCCTGTTCAGCTGGGATTAAAGGTCTGCCACACCCCTCTGGTCAAGTAGATGAGGTCACATCTTCCCTGACTCCTTTGGGGCCAAGGCTCCACCACCTTTTTAGCAAGCAAGATAAGTATCCTGCATCGTGTGCTAATGTCCTTCCAGTATGTCCTTGTCGGCACTAATTCATAGCTTCTGCTCGCTTTTCTTCTGCAGTTTATTTCTGGCATCCTGGCGGCTCTCAGTGCCATGATTTCTCTAGAAATCCCACAAGTTAACATCATGACGAAGATGGACCTGCTGAGTAAGAAAGCCAAAAAGGAAATTGAGAAGTGAGTTCAGGGCAGTCTGTCTTGTCCCCAGGGCTTTCTGTATGGGATGAGCCTTCTGTCCATCAAGACAGGTCCCAGGGTGCCAGTCTCTTCTCTCATGTAGTCCTCCCTTCCTTGTCTCTCTCTTCACCTTTATAGGTTTCTCGATCCAGACATGTACTCTCTGCTAGAAGATTCAACAGGTGATTTAAGAAGCCAAAAATTCAAGAAACTGACAAAAGCTGTGTGTGGCTTGGTAAGCTTCGGCGGTGGTTTCTTCAGATCTTCTCTAATGGCTCCTCAGGCTTCTGTCCATGGCCAGCTAGTGTCAACCGTGTGGGCAACACAGTTCAACTTTGTTCCCTGCAGAAAGCAGGAGGGTGGGGAGGAACTTGACTTGTTAGTTCAGACCCTTTGACAACTCAGAACTGTTTGAGCGTTCACACTTCACCACTTCAGGTGACTGAGGAATTGAAATAGGTACCAGTGAAACCACTTCTGGTTACCTAGTAACCTGTTATGTGCCAGCAGGTTAGAAGTCAGAAAGATCAGTATCGGGGTCCATTTGGGGTACCAGCCCCTCAGAACTCTACAGACTCGAGTGGGGCGCTACAGCCAGTGAAGGAAAATAACCAAGGGGATCTGAGGGGAAAAACAACAACTCACACGCAATTTCTCCTCAGCCTGTCTTTGTTCTCACTTACTTGTCCTCTCTTCTCAGTCCTAACTGTCATAATTTCTTAGCTCTAATTCTCTGTCTCAATTCTTTTTTTTTTTTTTTTAAAGATTTATTTATTTATTATGTATACAACATTCTGCCTTGATGTATGCCCGCACGCCAGAGGAGAGCGCCAGATCTCAGTACAGATGGTTGTGAGCCACCATGTGGTTGCTGGGAATTGAACTCATGACCTCTGGAAGAGCAGCCAGTGCTCTTAACCTCTGAGCCATCTCTCCAGCCCCCTCTGTCTCAATTCTAATTCCAATTCTCTGCTACATCCTCCTTCATTTTCTTTTTTTTTTTTTTTTTTGGTTTTTTGAGACAGGGTTTCTCTGTGGTTTTTGGAGCCTCTCCTGGAACTAGCTCTTGTAGACCAGGCTGGTCTCGAACTCACAGTGATCCGCCTGCCTCTGCCTCCCGAGTGCTGGGATTAAAGGCGTGCGCCACCACCACCCGGCTCTCCTTCATTTTCTTATCTCTGCTAATTTTGGGGATGCTTCTCCAACTTCTGTTCCAGTTTCTGTCCTCTCTTTGTTCTTACCCAGCTATAAAGACCCACAAAATCTTAGAGGCATAGAGAGTAATCAGGTAACTTATATAGACAGACAAGGGAAGTTTATGGCCCTTGATCCATTAGCACATTCTTCCAAATGTAGCAGTCTCTGAGGGCCTTTTAGGTCTGATTTTTATTCCTATTGCTCTAAGCTGTTGAAACAAAGAGGACACCCAAGCCTCTAAATTGTCACATCCTTGGCTTGATGCCTATCAGAGTCACCACTGGAGGTTTGTTTTCCTCTGGGCTGTGGGTAGATGGTTAATTGTTTTTCCTGAGAGTAAGACACAAGCATCTTTACATCTCCTGGACTAAAGTCATCAGTAAACTGAGGTGAAGGTGAGGTGAGGAGTTAGGAATCTTTTATTTCAAGATTAGTTTTGGGTCATTGCTTTTCTTATTGATTAGTGAGGTAAAAACCAGGGCACGCTTACTTTTTCTTTCTATCTGAGCAGCTCTGAATCAACAGCTTTGGGTATGTAGTAATTCTATGTCTTTGGATATCTGGGAATGTCTTAAATGGAATACATTTAACTGAACCCTAAATACTGACCAGATGTGTATCAGTAAAGAAATTGCAGGAAGGCAGATCTCATTTACACTGAAGAAAGGAACAGAAACCTGGTAGTGGGAAGCAGGTTTCTTGGCTTTGTGACTGTTTTCACACATAACTAGGGGTTGTAGTCAGTAAACCCCAAATGCAAAGGGGAAATTTTGCCCAGTAAATGATCAAATAGTGTTGAACTGTGGGAGATAAATCCCAAATTTCTAACAGATGGGGATAAGCTACAGAGAAATCTACAGTGAGAAACAGCCACTTTATTCACAAGGCAGTAATTCCAACATGCCTTGCATCTAATTCCTCCAAACAAAGCTCTTGGCTCTGATGGGTTGACCTTGTGAAATGATGCTGATTAGTTACTGAATAGTTCTAGCTCTCCCTTTCCTAGTTCAGTGCATTTGTGGATTTGTTTGTTTACTTGTTTCTTACATTTATTTATTTGTGTGTGCGTACACGCATATATACCAGGAAGACAAGCTTTGGGAGTTGATTCTTCCCTTCTATCATGTGGATTCTAAGGATGAACTCAGGTTGTCAGGCTTGGCAGCAAGCACTCTTACCCACTGAGCTGAGCCCTCCAGCCAGAGCACTTTGTTTTTGTTTGTCGAGGCCTTGTTTCTCTGTAACAGTCCTAGCTGTCTTGGAATTTGCTGGTTAGAACTGGCTGACCTTGAACTCACCGACTTCGCCGCCTTCCAAGTGCTGGGATTAAAGGAGTGGCCACCACCACCCAGCCAGCTCTTATGCTTTTAATGGGAAGTATAAATGATTATAAAACACAGACCTAGAGCTGGGAGGTGGTAGCCCACACCTTTAATGGGGGTGTGTGGGGGGGGGGGGGGGCAGAAGCAGGCAGATCACTGAGTTCAAGGCCAGCTTGATCTACAGAGTAAGTTCCAGGACAGCCAGAGATACACAGAGAAACCCTCTGAAAAACAAAATAAAAAAACACCACAGATCCAGGATGGCAGTTGTATGCTGCACCCCCTGAAAGTGACTCTCTCTTGAACCCCACACCCTAGATCGACGACTACAGCATGGTTCGGTTTCTGCCATACGATCAGTCGGACGAGGAGAGCATGAACATTGTGCTCCAGCACATCGACTTTGCCATTCAGTATGGCGAGGACTTGGAGTTTAAGGAGCCAAAGGTATTTTGGGATTCGGGATGTGAACTCTCTTGAGGTGTGTGTATGTCCTAGAGGAGGGGATTCATTTTCTGTTCTGTATGTCTTTTGTGTCAGGAACAGGAAGAAGAGTCTTCCTCCATGTTTGATGAGTATTTTCAGGAACGGCAGAACGAGTGAGGTTGACTGCACGGTGACCATCTGATTGTGGCTGTAGGAATGCATTTCTGGAGGAGGTGACTGGAAGCTGCTGCTTGTTTTAATGTAAACAACGCTGGACCCTCCCCGCAGTGAGCCTGGATTGTGCTTGGAGCTTTGAAACCATTACTCTTTCTTTTTCTTTTTCTTTTTTTTTTTTTTTTTGGTTTTTTGGTTTTTCGAGACAGGGTTTCTCTGTAGCTTTGGAACCTGTCCTGGAACTAGCTCTTGTAGACCAGGCTGGCTTCAAACTCATAGAGATCCACCTGCCTCTGCCTCCCAAGTGCTGGGACTAAAGGCGTCCGAAACCACTACTCTTTTAAGAGGTTCTATTCTGATTTTGGATTTAAAAAAAAATCAAAGTAGCAATTGATGCACAAAGACTTGTATATAATATAAATCAACCGATCCACACACATATATCTCGTGTGTGTGTGTGTGTGTGAGAGAGAGAGAGAGAGATTGAGAGAGTGTGTCTAACTTTATTTTTACGGTTGGATTTTTGGTTTTTGAGGGGTTTTCTTTTGATTAATTTGTTTCTGGAGAGAAACAATTATTGTAACAAAACCATATATCTCCATCCAAATTAAAAAACTGAAAAGGTATACATAAATCTTATTTTCCCAAATCAAACATGTATTATTTATATAATTAAAAATTAAAACTGTTTTGAATATGTGTGTATGAATGTATGTGTTGGAAAGAAACGGGTCCTCCCTTTTTGGTATTTTTTTGAGACAGGGTTTCTCTATGTAGCCCTGGCTGTCCAGGAACTTGCTGGACAGCAAGGCTGACCTTGAACTCAATGATCTGCCTGCCTCTGCCTCCCAAGTGCTGGGATTAAAAGCGTGCACTGCACTCTACCTACCACACCTAACCAGAAAAGCTTTTAAACAGGCTAATTTCCCCAAAGGTCAAAATGTAGGCATGACTGTTTAGAAATCTCGTGTGTATCTGTGCAGGCATGGTGGCTCGTGCCTGAAGTCCCAGCATTCAGGAATTGAAGTAGGAGGATTACCTTGAGACCAAGTCCAATCTGGGCCACTTAGTGAGACCCTGTTTCAATAAATAAATAAACAGATTTTGTTTGTAGTCTCTGAGAATTTAAAAGCTTAGATACTCTGTAGTGATATTTCTTTCTTTTTTTTTTTTTTTTTTTTTTTTTTGTGGTTTTTTGAGACAAGGTTTCTTGTGGCTTTGGAGCCTGTCCTGAAACTAGCTCTTGTAGACCAGGCTGGTCTTGAACTCAGAGAGATCCGCCTGCCTCTGCCTCCCGAGTTCATTTGTACTTTAATAAGTAAAGCTTACCTGAAAATCAGGAGTAAAACAGCTGCACTGATAAGCCTTACAGTCCAGACAGTGGTGGTGCACATCATTAATCCCATTAGCCATACTAGTTAGCCATAGAGGCTGGGTGGTAGTGGTGCATGCCTTTAATCCCAGCCCTAGAGAGGAATGTAAGACTCAAGGAGACAGCTCTCACACACAGTCTCATTCTGAGATTCCTGGAGGCACCATCGCCATTTTGGACTGAGGTAGAGGTAAGAGCCAGTGGCTGGCTCTTTTGCTTTTCTGACCTTCAGGTTGAACCCCAATTATCTATCTCTGGCTTCTTATTAATCGTGCTACAATATGCCTTGCATAGTGCATACCCTAAATCAGACGAAATAATTTTTTCTTTTAACTTACTGCCACATTGAATTGTGTTCAGCTTTTCAGAACCCTTTGGCGGCAGGTGTGAAGAAGGTCATGGGGAGCAGCCAGCTGGAAGGTTTTGCTCTAGCATCCCTCAAAGGTCAAACTCTGGCAGAGTGAGGCTGAATCTCATTAAGTCCTGTTAGACTTTACATTACAGAGCATTTTACATCATTTCTTTTGTTGAGTCCTCACAATTAGGTCCAAGGGTTCTCTGGTTATTTGGTGACCCGTCTTCCTGCTGATGCTAATTAATCCCTCATAGAAATGTAATTTAGGGCATGCCATTGGTGGTGTACGCCTTTAATCCCAGCACTCAGGAGGCAGAGGCAGGAAGAGGTGAGTTCAAAACCAGCTTGGTCTACAGAGCTAGTTTCAGGACAATCAGTGCTACACAGTGAGACTCTCAAAAAAATTATATAAGGTTTATGTCAGTGGTGGGTTTGTCTTCATCTTTGCAGACATGAGGCATCACTCTGGCCCTTATGATGCAATTGGTTTTCATGGCCACTTAATCCTTGCTATGGAAGACCTGTGGGAATGATACAGGACACACATTTAGTGGATGACAGGTCAAGGTGTAGGTCCTTTTCTGCCCTTTACCCCCATGGTGCTCCCTGACTGTCTCAATGTGACAAGGAAAATAGAGACATCACAAGTATGTCAGGCGATGGTGGCACACGCCTTTTATTCCAGCACTTGGGAGGCAGAGGCAGGCAGATCTCTTGAGTTCCAGACCAGCCTGGTCTACAGAGTGAGTTCCAGGACAGCCAGGGCTGTTTCACAGAGAAATCCTATCTTGAAAGACCAAAAAACAAAAACCAACCAAACAAAAAACCCACCACAAGTTAGACATCTTAAAATTAAGCAAAAGCAAGCAAACAAACCAGGGAGTGCTGGGGATCACACCTGTGATGCCAGAATAAAAGTGTACAAGTGGAGGCAGATGGATCGTGAATTCAAGATACACATGTACATATATACAGTGGAGGGCAGCCTGGAATCAAACTCAAGACTCTTAGGAAAATAAAAATAAGGGTTATCAAGATGGCTCAAGTATGTAAGGGTTACCCAAGACCTGAATTCGACCCCCAGATCCCCCATTGTGGAAGGTGAGAAATGATTTGGACTTCCCCACGTGGACTGTGGTAAAAATAAAAAACTAGACATGGCAGAAGGGTAAATCAAGGAACTGAGGCCAGGGCATGAGGAAAACGCGGGAGGTGATTATTAACCTCTGAGGGATTTTTTAATTTCAAAGCCCAGCCTTCCTCTGTGCGCGATTTAAGCATGCGCCACACCCAGAGCCTGATGCTCGCGCACCCCCTGGCGTCCTTTCTGATTAGCGCAGCTGCAGCAACCAGGGGCGGAAGCTAGACCGGAAGTGCATCTCTTCGTTTCGCCCGCCTCTTCCGGCTCACTTCCGCCCACTCCACCCAGGCTCGCTGGCCGGAAACGTTCCGCGTTACCTGAGTCCTGTTTCTCTGGATCGAATCCGGACACCGCCAAAATGCCGGTAAGGCTTCGAGCCCCGAGGTCGGGGAGCCGAACGGGCCCGGGCCCTGAGGAGGGACGGGAGTCCCGTTCTAGAAAGCCGGGGAAAGAGGAAACTGCCGCCCTCCTCTCCTGCCCAGCTCTTTGCCTCCAGCCCCAGGACCCTTTCTCTCCTCACTATTTTCTCCCGAGTCCTGAAGTGTTCCCAGATCTCACCCGAGAGCTTCGAAGTTAAGAGCGACGGCTTTTAATTGATTTTTAAATCTAAGGTCCAGCTTCTCCTTTTCTCCCCCACCCCCACCCCTTGTCACTTCCACTTCCTCCTCCGCCTTTGGTTGGCCTGCTGCTAATGACCTGTCAGGCTCATTTCCCTGACGGATCCCTACCTTGTCCTCCATGTTGTAGCTGTATTTCTACTCACAGACCCCCACCGAGTCAGCACTGGTTTCCAAGAGTTTCCTTTGTCATGTGCTTTCGGGTGGGAGGAAGAAATGACAATAGTCTGGTAGTCCTTAACATCTGATGTCAGTCTCCATCATGGGTTCCGTTTTGCAGATTAGTAAAGGGATAACTGAATGAAGTCCACATTGGACATGCTGAGCTCTCACTATGTATGAAGTCCACATTGGACATGCTGAGCTCTCACTATGTATGAAGTCCACACTGGACATGCTGAGCTCTCACTATGAAGTCCACACTGGACATGCCGGACTCTCACTATGTATGAAGTCCACACTGGACATGCTGAGCTCTCACTATGAAGTCCACACTGGACATGCTGAGCTCTCACTATGAAGTCCACACTAGACATGCTGAGCTCTCACTATGAAGTCCACACTGGACATGCTGAGCTCTTACTATGAAGTCCACACTGGACATGCTGAGCTCTCACTATGAAGTCCACACTGGACATGCTGAGCTCTCACTATGTATGAAGTCCACACTGGACATGCTGAGCTCTCACTATGTATGAAGTCCACACTGGACATGCTGAGCTCTCACTATGAAGTCCACACTGGACATGCTGAGCTCTCACTATGTATGAAGTCCACACTGGACATGCTGAGCTCTCACTATGTATGAAGTCCACACTGGACATGCTGAGCTCTCACTATGTATGAAGTCCACATTGGACATGCTGGACTCTCACTATGTATGAAGTCCACACTGGACATGCTGAGCTCTCACTATGAAGTCCACATTGGACATGCTGGACTCTCACTATGTATGAAGTCCACACTGGACATGCTGAGCTCTCACTATGAAGTCCACACTGGACATGCTGAGCTCTCACTATGAAGCCAGCACTGGTAACAGCAGCGACTAAGGCCCTCTCAAGGAGCTCGCATTTTAACGGGTAGACAGTTACCATGTAAATGTAAATAGGAGGTAGTTCCAGATCTTAAAAAATCCTATGAAGAAAATAGATGGAGAGCCGGGCGGTGGTGGCGCACGCCTTTAATCCCAGCACTTGGGAGGCAGAGACAGGCGGATCTCTGCGAGTTCAAGACCAGCCTGGTCTACAAGAGCTAGTTCCAGGACAGGCTCCAAAGCTACAGAGAAACCCTGTCTCGAAAAACCAAAAAAAAAAAAAAAAAAAGAAAATAGATGGAGGACAACACTAGCCTCCATGGTGGTACTTATCTCTCATCCCAGCACTTGGAGACAGAGGCAGGAGGATTGCAAATTTCAGGCAGAAGTAAGTGGACTATGCTGTGAGTTCTAGGCCAGCTTGGCCTATACAGCTATAAAACCTGTCTCCAAAATATGGGGGAAAATAGGCTCTGGAAGGTGCTTGCTGTGCAAGAGATGGGGGTGGGGGCAGCGCAGCTCATGTTTATTCCTTCAGCCCTGGGGAGGCAAGAGTCAGGCAGACCCTCTGGGCTCATCAGCCTGCCAGCCAGTCTAGCCAAAATCAGCAAGTGCTAGGTTCAGTGAGAGAGAAAGTGGCTCAGTAGGTTAAATGTTTAGGTGTTTAGGGCACAAGGACAAGGACCTGAGTTTGGCTGCCTAGCACCCAGTGCAGTCGGGGGAGGGGGCTCCTGCCTGTCATTCCAGAGCTGGGAAAGTATAGAGATCACTGGGGCTCCTTGTCTCACAAATAATGAGAAAAGCAGTTGCGGAAGAGACCTCTGGCCTCCACGTGTGTACACATACACCTGCATGCACACATGAACACATTTACACACACTACATACACAAATGCTGGAAGTAATTGAGGAAGAAACCCAGCATTTGACTCTGTCTTTCACACACAAACATGCATGAGCACATGCATGAACGTGTGCAAAAAGTAAGACCACTACAGTGTCCAGTGACGGGTGGTGAAAGGAGAGCAGATGTAACTTTCAGTTGTGTGTGTGTGTGTGTTTGGCAGCACTGAGAATTGAACCCAGAGCCTCATTGCAGGCTACGTAGACCCTCTACCACTGAGCTATATCCCCACCTCTGTTTTGCCTTTTATTTTGAGAAAAGGTCTCACTCA